AGTTTTTTAATAAATTTGTTTCTCTGCTATAAACATTGTATGTTCCTTGGGAAAATAAATCCTTCTTTGTGTCCTTCACGGGTCAAACTGAAATCCATCCCTGAGAGCATGCATTTTAATTCTTCATCAACACTTTATTCGCAACCTTTTTCATCCTATAGTAATTAGTCAATGTTTGCGCGTGTTGGATGCGCCCCACGTGGCAGAAAATTTGCATTTCAAGAGTAAATCACTTGGGGTTTTATTCAGGGTCGCGTCTGATTCCACATTCGTTCAGGAACTCAGACGGCTTAGTTTATTGGTTGGTGAAGGGTTTATTTATTAGTGGGTGCGTTTCGATAGATAGGATTATATAAGGTATGTATTTTTTTTTGAAAGGTTCAAATATGATATACAGTGTGTAAAATCCAAAAAGAATAAATTCATTATTTCGGTTACTGTACATATTTGAAAAAATTCCCGAAACACGATAAATTTAAATTATAATTTGAGAGACACTAATCAGAAAACATAACATCTTCTAATTGGATGATATTGTTATCAAGCATGTCCATCATTTGCTCACAAAAAAAAGTTCTTCTATCACAATCGTTTTCCATGAGCTCCTGAGTAAGTATCATTTTATAGGGATGCATTTTATTTCCTTTTAATACGTTTACTATCGATGTATGGCTAACATTGAATGTAGTGGATGCCTATCTACTCGATGTATGTGGGTTTTCCTCAAACTCAAGCATCACATCTGATTTGAGTTCATCTGACCATTTGTCAGACTTGAAATTAACGAACTTCAAACTTTAATTGAAATACTGACAACTAATGTTATTACATACAAAACAAGTGGACAAGGCGTTTTAAACTAACGTTGCCACGGAAATTATTCAGTTTTTCAAAGGATACCATCTAAAAAGAACATTGCTATGGTTTCTGCTTACTTTCTTATAATTAATACCTCAACATGAAATACGTTTTGAGTATATTGCAATAAGTTCTGAGTGTATTTTATCAAATTTCGGTAACCGCATGATTTTAATTTATTTTATCTTAATTGTTGCAATAAACTTGAAAGCGATAACATTTTTGGATAGAGAAAAAAGATACCTTTCAAACGATATATCACAAGCCTATACTTCCCTTTAAAAAAATTGGGGGTTGTACCTGTCATTCGACGGGGTTTGAAAATTGGGGTAGTATTTTTCCGTTGAAGTATTTCAGATAATAATTTGAATTTGACGTTTTTCGGGATCTTGTTAAAATATGCACCGTAACCGAAATAATTAATTCATTCAATTTGGCTTTCACACTGTATAAGTACCCATTGAAAGGGGTGTATTTTTAGGACAGAATAATTTTTGGGAAAGAAAGTTTTTTAGCTTTCTACTTCTCCATCTTTACACAAAAAATGCTATTCATTTCAAAATGAACTTTCAACAATAATGTATAAATCGTGCATGGAAGTTACTTTCAGGCACAAACTTGAAGGAAACAAATACTTTTGTAGAAACATTGAATCATACAAAACACGTTTTTCTATGCAGTTTGTACTCCAAACAATTATTATGGAATTGAATAAGATATCATTCACAGGATTGCTACATAATATAGTACCTATATGAAAGAGGTACAATTTCATTCACATAGAACACTGTCGTCCTCAATGGTCGACATCGATGTTTCGAAATGAGACACTCGTCTAACAGTGAGTAATAACATTCATTCGCTTACTTGATTCAATCCCAGCCATAAGAATTTTGTTTGAATTAAAAGGGGTATATTTTTGGTAGAACTTAATTTTTGGGAACGAAAGGTGTGGGAAACCTCTAAAGAAAGGAATAGTGCAATCAATTTCGAAACAAATTCTTCACAATGATGTGTAGATCATGAGTATGTATATTTAATTCATTCGTGACATAAAGTCGTTATGTTATGAATGAATTGAATGCTTCATCTTGCGATGTTACCCAGATTGGACTGACGAGGCAATAAGGCAAGTGTCTTATTCCGAAACATGGGATGTCGGCCATTGAGAATGACATTGTTCCATGTGACTGAAATTTCACGTTTTTCATATACACGTGTAGCGATTCTGTGAATTATATCTGTTTCAATTCTATAACAACTGTTTGGAGTACAAAGTCAAAGGAAAAAGTGTTTTTTGTATCATTCAATGTTTATACATATATAAGTAGTTGTTTCGAAAGGGCTTTTTCTTCCAGTTTGTGTCTGAAAGTTACTTCTTTACAACTCAAATCAACACATCTATTGTATCTAACTAGTTCGGACTTCCATTGTCTACTATATAAAATGATTTGAAATCCATGAAACAACTAAAAGAGAAGAATTGAAAATGAATAGCTGAAAATAACAATTATATTAAGCAAAATAAACCTGAAATTAAATAAAAGTGAAATAAAATACAAGTAAAAATAGAACAATTGAATAAATAAAAATAAAACAATCGAAACGTCGTGAACTAACGTGACTTGGAATCTCTCCACTTTTTATTTTTATTTTCTTTTTTCATTTCTTTTTTTATTCATTCAATTCTTCTATTTTTACTTGTATTTTATTTCACAATTACAGTATGCTCAATATAATTGTTATTTTGAGCTATTCATTTTTAATTCTTCTTCTTTAGTCGTTTCAGGGATTTCAAATCATTTTATATAGTAGACAATGGAAGTACGAACTAGTGAAATTCATCATAAAACATTGTCAATCACCTTCAAACAATAGTTGTCCTTTAGTTTCAATGTTTTAATATTACCACTTGTTTACACAGTGGATTTGAAGCTTTGATAATTTCTAATTATTATATGCGAGAGTTTTCGATAGGAGACTATGCTATTAACTTCATGGCTCTACTGAAACTTCTTGTTTGTTTTTTTATACGGTTAGATCGCCTTAGTGAATTTGTTATTGATGTTGATGATATAACCCAATTACAGGCAAATTTAATGAGACATTCGGATGAAAGAGGAAGACAAATGCTGGCCCAAGCCCTAATTAATGAACCACCAACAACAATAATAAATTTACTAAGGCGATCTAACCGTATAAAAGAACAAACAAGAAGATAAAACGTTCAGAGTATAGCTGTGAAGATAATAGAACAGTCTGCTATCGAAAGCGCTCGCATATAATAATTAGAAGTTATTGAAGCTTCAATTTTTTTTTTTTAATATTAAGTGTTAATATTAAAACTGAGAAATATATAATGTTTGGATTTTTTACGTCAACCCGTTTGTGGGTTGAGCTATTTTGAGATTTTAAAAATCGCTCTACGGATATTTACTCAAATTGCAATTGCTCGTCTGCCAATTGAGCTGCGACCTTGGGAGATGGGTCATTTTCTATTTTCGTATTTTCATATAATATTCAAAAAATGAGGGCTTTTAGGAAAAAAAATTCAGCAAATTTGAAATAATGTTATCGTGTTCTCGAATAAACCACTTATTTGAAAAATGTAGAGAAATAGCCCTATCATATGGTTAAGCAATATGCAAAACTATACGAAACTAATTGTAACTTCCAGGTTCTTTCAAACTTATGTGTTAAAACCCTGAAAAAATAATGAAACGAAAAAATTAAATTGACTTTACCTAAACAAAAAAATCTAGCTTTACATTTTTCCACGACTTCTACAATTGACTTACTCATGAGAACATCAATACAGAAATGAAAATAAAATATAATTTCTGTCGCCACCTTGAAGACTGAATCGCATATTTTGCCTCAGTTCAGGTGAGAGTACCTCAGCCAAAATCTTTTCACAATTCTACTAAATCTATCGCTACTTTGCCGTGGACTGTGGCAAAAAAGTAACTTCAATATTGAATTATGCGAAGAGGTGGTACAAATTAAAATAAATTTCTTTATTTTTGCGTTGGGCGTTATTATAATTTTATACAGATGTTCTTGTGAACATGAAAGTTACAAAAATCACAGGTGACTGTAAATTTATAATATGTTCTGCTTGTTCATTTGAAGTTACAATTGATTTTGAATAGTTTTAACTAAGATCCCACCATTTACTAATATTGAAACTTTGCCCATTGCGTGACCACAGGCACTACAGGAAAATCCTTAAGGCACTCTCAGAGCGGTGCCTGTGCGAAAGTAGCGATTTACATTGGATTTAAATCGCTGAAGATTGAATCCACTTGGAAAAATGTTCTCAGGAAGTTTATTTCACATAAACGCAGTTCTCCAGATGAAAGAGTTCTTAAACAGTGAAGTTCGTGGTATACTGAGTTGAACCTCAAAACAATGAGCAGCCAGGTCGCGTATTTCTGATATGTATCGCAAATGTGCCAAGTCACTTGAACATCTCCATGAAAGAGGCACAAATCTCCAACTTTTCTTCGATGTTCCAGGCTATCAAGATTGCACGTGGTGTTCGCGTCTTCAATCAGGTGGATGGCTCTTTTCTGGATAGAATCCAGCAACTTTAGGGTGTCTTTGGGAGCAGAGCTCCATACAATACTCCAAAGAAGATCTGATCGGAGCTCTGTAAAGCATCCAACAGTGTTCCAAGCTTTTGAGAAGTAGCCTTTGCACACCAATATGTCTTGGCACATGATTGTGCCAAGACATATTGGTGTCCATATTAACCTTCAACAAACGTATCGAAGCAAAAAGCGGAATTGTCTGATCTGACATTATTATATCCGGTTCGGAAACATTTATCTTCTTGGAGAAATCTTCTAGATTTTAATATAAATGTAAATACGTACTAATTCAAAAAACACTTCATTGTGAGATTTTCACTAAAAAGTTTTACAAAAAGTAACACGTGTTTCGCTATACAACAGCTTCTTCAGGCGTGTCTATACTAGACTAGACTAGACCTGGCACATGATTGTGCCAAGACATATTGGTGTCTATATTAACCCCCAACAAACGTATCGAAGCAAAAAGCAGAATTGTCTGATCTTACATTATTATATCCGGTTCGGAGACATTTATCTTCTTGGAGAAATCTTCTTGATTTTTTTTCATATTTGTTGGAGACGCGTCGTTTTAGAAAATTATTATTTTTTTCTAATTCGGTGAAAACTTTTTTTGAAAAACCCTCTATGTTATGCATGTTATATTAAAGGGCATTAAAATAGAATATAGTGACTCCTCTTCTAAGGTCACAGATCAATAAGGAGATGACCAGTTGCAATTTGGGTAAATACCAGCAGAACGATTTTCATTTCTTTTTATGGACATAAAAGAGCAATAACTCAAAAATGAGTTGACATAAAAAATTATTGAAGTTTCATATATTTCATAGTCAATATAAAATGTAAATCTATGTGATCATAATTGGCCGATAATAGATCTATCAACACGTCTGGGAAAGCTATTATATAGTGAAACACGTGTTGGGGTTTTGTAAACCGTTCAGTGAAGGCATCATATTAGAGTGTTACTTGAATATAAATGTAAATACGTACTAATTCAAAAAACACTTCATTGTGAGATTTTCATTAAAAAGTTTTACAAAAAGTAACACGTGTTTCGCTATACAATAGCTTCTTCAGGCGTGTCTATACTAGACTAGACTAGACGTGAATACTATATACTTTTTTCGTAACTCCTATAAGTTGCGTTTGTTAAGGCAGATATACAAACGATAGTTCTTCTGACAATCCCACAGAAATTTGAGGAACCTTAAGTGATACATAAACCATTTGTGGACAACTGAATAATATAACACTGATAAATATCTGCATTCGAAGTGTGATTTGGTACCTACCTGGTTTCTTTTCAGATCATTAGGGATGAAACCCCAAGTAATATGTGGAACATTATTGATGCTGCAGGGCATCACGACTATAATGCCAGTTTCTTTGAACAGGAATGCAGGTTTTCCACAGAATAACAATCACAAAAACATATCTTCCTTACTGGATCACTTGTTGAATGGTTATGACAATAGCGTTCGTCCTGACATTGGAGGTAAAACTGTTCATGCATTTTTAAATGAAATTAATCCCTATTGAATATAACATTGATTTTAATATACACATGTATACACGGTAAAACCAACTAACACCGACAAACCCTGAATGGTGTCCAAATAGCTCCACATTTTGCCAGTGAAAAATAACACCGACACATTTTACACTACTGTATGGATCATAATTATGGGACCCCAAAATAAATGTAATTTTTTGATGAAAATTTATTTCCTTTGATGTGTAATGATCCATTATTGTGTTTTTTTACATCTTCATGGTGGAAATAACCAAATTTGCGGTGTAAAATTCGTATATTTATGGTGTGATTCGAGTGCAAAGTGTTGTCATAAAATTATTCAATTTTTGCGGTTTCATTAGCCATGGCCTGCAAATTTGATGTCTGTCGCAATAGCAAACGACACATCAGGTATACAAATTTGCATTTAATTGGCACCATGAATATATGAAACTCACAAGGAATATTAGGTGATAAAACGTGTTTGGCTTTCTACTAGTCCATCTTGATACAAACAAATGTGAGAATATTCCAAAGAAAAGAAGGAAGTAATCAATTTTAAAATAAGTAACTCTATACATGGATGTGTAGATCATGCAAAGAAGTAACTTTCAGGCACAAACTGCCCTCCTGAAACAGCCCCTTTCATATAAACATTGAATTACACGAAAGAAACTTTCTTTCGAAACAAACACTTTTTTTGAACACTGAATTATGCAGAAGACACTATTCTCTACTTAGTTCCAAACACTTATCCCCGCTTTCCATTTTCCGCTTCGCTGGTTCCGTGGGAGATGACCGTTTTGGCGGGAGTTGGCCATTTTTCGCTTGATGATGGGTTTCCATATGTTGCGTATTTCTACGCTGGCTTGGCTGAATACGTTGTAGGACAACATGTATGTAGCTTCCTTCAATTTTCTCCTAAACCTATGTTCCTCTCTGTGTAAGATCTCACCTTAGGGCCACTCGATGTTGTGTTGATGGATCCAAACATGCTCCGCTTTTCCTGATTTGCTGGTTTCCCCTCGCTGTGTGTGTTTCTTGTGCTCGGCAATGCGAACATTCAATGGCCTCTTAGTTTCACCAATATAGGATTTTCCGCACTCACAAGGTATCCGGTAAATGCAATTCTTGGAATCGCAGTCCGCGTTTGGTGGCCTGGTTTTCGTGAGGCTGCTACGGATAGTGTTACCGGATCTGAAGCAGGTTCTGATGTTGTACTTGGAACCAATTTTTCTTATCCTCTCCGATAATCCTCTGATGTAGGGAAGTGCAAGCACTGGTTGTGACGGCTTCTCTTCCTTGCGAGGCTCCTGCTCTCTTCTAGCCAAAGTCTTTTCCACCATCGCTTTGGAGTAGCCATTCCGTTGAAGATCATTTTTGATGTCTAGTTCCTTCTCGAGACCTTCCTTCGTATTACAAAGCCCAAAAGGACGGTCTAATAGAGTCTTGATGATTCCTCTTTTACTCTATTGATGGTGGTTGGATTCATGGTTCAGATACTGTCCCGTATGAGTGGGTTTTCGGTATACAGATGTTTTCCACTTAGTGTCGGTCCTCTTCACCAAAACGTCTAAGAATGGCAATTCGTTGTGGATTTCCTTCTCCATTGTGAAATTGATGGAAGGTCTCACGCTGTTGATGTGTTTCAGGAAGGCGTCTAGCTCAGTATTCCCATGGTTCTATATTATGAAGGTGTCGTCAACATATCTCAACCAGACTCGAGGTTTCTTGTGGGCTTCTTCAATGGCCAGAGTTTCAAACCACTCCATATATATGTTGGCTATGACTGGTGAAAGTGGCGATCCCATTGGCAGTCCCTCGTCTTGTGTGAAGATTTCGTCCTTCAGTTGGAAATAACAGTTTTGTACACAGCATCCTAGTAATTCCATGATTACTTCTATAGGTAGATTCGTTCTCTCTTTCAGGTTCTCGTCTTCGGATAGCTTTCTCTGTATGATTTGGAGTGCTTCTTCGACCGAAACGTTGGTGTAAAGGCTTTCCACGTCGAAATTAATTAGTTGATCTTCCTGTGTGACCTCAATTGACCCTAGTAGTTCGACAAAATGCCTTGAATTCTTCACAAAAGACGATGTTTTTCCTTGTAATGGTTGTATTAAGGGAAGTAAAAATCTAGACAAGTTTTGAGTAGCCGAATCTCTGGAGCTGATGATATATTTATTCAATTGTTCTATTTTTACTTGTATTTTATTTCACTATTATTTCATTTCAGGTTTATTTTGGTTAATATAATTCTCATTTTCAGCTATTCATTTTTAATTCTTCTTTTTTAGTTGTTTCAGGGATTTCAAATCATTTTATATAGTAGACAATGGAAGTCCGAACTAGTGAAATTCAGTGCTTTTTTGGCTCTACGGAAGAAAATTTAGTAAGAATTTTTGTACAATCCGAAAATTGTCATTTTTAAAATGTTTGAAAACATTTTATTCATCAATCAGATTTGTCATACTTTCATCAAATGGCTTTGGTTTGAAAATTATGTTTGTTGAGAATCTTGGAATCTTCTGGATGAATTTCCATAAAAAATCTCCACGATTCACAAAGGTAAAGAATGGGGTTGACTTCAGTGCGGGATGTGTGTCTGGTTGGGTCTTAATATTATTGTTCTCAAAGTGTTCAGACGAAAAATATTTCTTTTTTATTTATTTTTTCGCCATTTGTTACAGAATTAGAAGAATTCACTAAAATATGTGAATTATAGTATATAAGATATAATAACATAATGAAAATACAATACAAAATATCATATCCCTCTCAAAGTAGTACACCAGGTATACTTTTCAATAAGTTCATACTCAATATAAATAAAATATTATTTTTTTGATTGAGATATATTGTCTATATTAGTGAATATTGAGTTCAGGTAGATCCTGAAAAACAATTGAAAATTGTTAATATGTAGTTAAGTATCTAAAAACTGTTGATATACCACGAGTATTTTGAATTTCGCTGCTAGAACTATTGTCCAGTTCATCAATAATCTTCGTGAGATCAACTGATTCCAATATCTGCAGAATTCCTGGTGTTATCAAGAAAAAGTTTTTGAATTATTCAGCAATTTCATCATCCTTATCAAGGATGAAGTATTTTTCAAATTTACAATTTTACCAATTTATTTTCAGGTAAACAGTGAATTTATTTTGCTATGATCATTCGACCAAGATTTTCACCATCACTCAAGAAATAATACCTAACTGTTCAACTCTCAAAAGTTGACACAGGCTCTCTACTTTTGAGTTAGCCTAATGAATAAAAATGTATGTTTTCAAAATTAATCAATGGTATGAGAATTTTCTCAGAATTATTCTTGACAGTAATATTTTTTATTCATATAATTTCATCATTTTCAGTAAATTTTTACTCTGCCTTTGAAAATCATTTTTCAGGACCACCTGCTGTTATAGAAGTTGATATCATGGTCAGGAGTATGGGATCAATATCGGAAATTGATATGGTTAGTACACTACCTCACTGATCATTGAATATCATGTACACTCACTATTTGAGATGATATTTTACCCTTATTTCTGCAATCTACAAAGTCTTCTATGCATAACTTATGATGGCTTCGAAAAACGTTATTAACTTCTACTGACAGTTCTCCAACATTATATATTTTTTTGTTACTATGACATTTCAAAGTTAAAACGAATATTATTTTCAAAGGTATTGAAAACCTCTTTAGGAAGGTTTCAAAGACACAAAAATTTATTTTTCTTACAAAACATTCTCAAAAAAATTTTCAGTTTCTTCATGAACCAGGTGAGTAAGATTTTAATTTGTCTCTGCTCTACTTCCCATTGAGAGAATTTGTTGGTATATTGTATATAATATAAAGTTTGTCAACACCAGTGTCTTCCAAACTGTTTCACCATAGCAGAAAAAGTGTATAACTATTTTTTGTGTAACTGGGAGTTACTTGGAATCTTAGACCAATACAGAAGTCTACCACTGAAACTGCGATATTTTGATACAGGAGCTTCAGTGACTTTCTCTTCAATTGTCGCTTTCACCTGCAGACGTTTCGATCTTTGCATTTTCAACAATTCATCTGCAAATATTTCGGATTACTTAAGTTGTACAGCTTGCTCCAGTCTTTAGTTTCCAACCAATGGACTAAACTAACTCAGGAGACAAATTTCTCAAGTTACTTCCATCTCTGTTCTCATTATTTTCGACATATTTTTCACAGTTTCGAATTCTAGTGCAGTTACTGATACAAGATTTATTGTTAGATGCCGACTTGATGTTCCAAAATGTTTTTTTAGTTTGTGGATTAACCATATTATTTTGTTGATATCTGCCCGATATTCCCGCATTCTGTAGAACAGATATCTTTTCTGTATATGCCAAATAAATTAGTTTTTGATGTTTGACTATATTATTACTTCATTTAATAATTAATCTTCCAAATGGTGCAGTCGGTTTATTGACCATTATCATTATTTTGAATCTATAAAAGAAAATACATCTATGGCTAAAGTCGGTAGTAGGTCCAATGTGCATGACAGGTAACCCTGCAGAAAATTGGAGAACTTAGAGAGCACGGTTTGAAAATTATTCGATTGCATTGAAGATTAACAATGTGTACAACTTCTTCAATTCATTGGCGAAGAAACGTTTCGCATATTTTCCACTAGGATGACACAAATGAATTGTAGAAACTTCTTAAAAAATTTGTAGGGTATCTATATTTTTTACTAAAAGACACTAGAGTCTATGAAAGATATAAACTACTTTCGTGCCGACAATAACCGGAACAGTCATTAGACCAATCCATAACGGAAGGTATACCAGAATTACATGCTATTCAAGTGAACTACTAGACAAACTGATCAACACTATGATTATAAATGGGGTATCAAATTCAGGAAGATCCTAAAATACTAGAGCTACAGCAACTAGAATTCGCCACATTATGCAAACATCAAAAGAGAGCTGCCAGGTCATGGAATGAAATTTAAATAACTCTGTAACTGTTTTGTTATTCAGTTTTATTTGAGGGGAAAGATACATTAGTTTTTGACATCTTGATTAGAGTATCACATTATTTTATAATTGATCTTAATACAATATCAACATACAACTATTACATTTTATCGGCTCCTAAATTAGCTCCTTGTTTCAAGTGTTATTGCGTTCACTATTCATTTATATGCCTTTTAGCTGCTTTGTAGGATATTTTACAGTATTATTGAAGTTTGTCCTCTCCATGTTGAAACCAGTCTATCAAAAGAACACAACCCATGATGACTATCCATCAAAGCCAGAGAATAAACTTCTATCTGACGGATTGTCTTCCATTAAGACTAGTTTCATTGAAACCCCTGTTTTATTCCTATAGTAGATGGGCATACTTGAATACTGGCTTAAAATCAAAGTATCTAAAAAAACAATTCGTTCAAGCCAGTCGTCCCTTATCTATACAGTAGCTTTATGGACTGACACCTATCAGAAAACAACTACTCCCCTGGCTAGCTTGAGTAGGTAAAGCAAGACTGGCCTGAACGAATTGAAACCTCTGTACTCTGCCCAAGAGGAGCCACATTTCTTCTCTTTTTACTTTCCTCTGGAAGAAACATTAGCCTTTTCTGATTATAATATTCCTGATATCATACAAATCCATTTATTTCCTTTCAGACTTATTCTATGGATTGCTATTTTCGGCAATCCTGGGTGGACAAAAGGCTGGCTTTCATGGGAGACTCTGGTGATACTCTAGCGCTGAGTGTATCAATGCTTGCTAGAATTTGGAAACCGGATACTTATTTCTACAACGGCAAACAATCGTATTTGCACACCATCACGACACCCAACAAGTTTGTAAGACTCCATCAAGATGGAACGGTTTTATATTCATCGAGGTACGTTTGCGTTATTTCTGCCCCTACAAATCCTTAGAAGGAGCATCTCTATTTTTTGTTTCAGAGTTGTGTGTCGAGTGTTTAACTCTTAAATTGAAAAATACTCTAATAGTCAGTGATTAGAACTGAAATATAAGGAGAAATTAGGAGTGATTGGTGGTTTGTGGCATCTAACATCATATTCCGTACTCGTTTCCTACGAAAATGAAGAGGACTGACTAACATAAAAATGAAACAAGTTCGTCTCGGAAAAAATTCCGAATCAGATTCAGAAAAATTATAAATAGAAAACAACTTCCTATGCCTTCAATTTCTCCATGACATTTTTCCACCTTTTGACACCTATTCCAACAATCGTGTGCCTGTATAGTTCCTTGCTGGATGTTTGTCACATTCTTCTGGACATTATTTCAGTTGTCCATGAACTGTTTGCTTCCTGTAATTCAGTGCTTCATATTCGCATGAGATATGACTAGCTGTCTATGTCCCTCAGGTTTTTGGTATATATATCCCAGAGCCAGAGGTATGGGGATTAAACATTTTCCTCAAGTAGAAGGTCCGGTCCTTTCTGCAGCATTGTTGACTGAATGACATCTGATCTCGGCGACTTAAGATTGGAATGAGTTTATGGTCCATTCAGTTTTCTCAAAATCTACCACTTTTTTCGCCACCAACAATTCCCCTCTGGATGCTTTTTTAGGAATCTTCAGTTTTGAATTTTTCCAGCGCAGAGAATCTCTCTTGTAGTCTCTCCTCCTATTTTTATGTACTTCTCAGTATTTGTTTTGAGATTATTTATTGAGACCTGAGATCCCTTAGAGAGTATATTTTAGAGCTTTGTTGTATTCACTTACGTTTTTTTTGTGTTGATCCCAGATACCTGATTTCCTTGCCGTTTTGAAGGTTTTTCTAGTGTGATGTCTCATCTGTGCCAACTCTTGATTCTCTCAGGAAACATTCCAGTTTGATCTATGGTTGTTGGTGAGATAATGGTCGTTGTACGTAGAGATAATTGCTTCCTCCGATTTCAAAATTTATCTGGTGATGATATAAGCAACTTTCATTTCTAAACATGCTCAAAAAGCTGTCAATAGCTCGTCCACATCCTGGTTGGTGGCGGTTCCTGATGATTGTTAGAGACGATTTCCTCAGGTCCAAATCATCCAAAGTTTGACCGCCGTCCCTGGTACAAAAGTTACTCAACGGCAGTATATTCAATCTTTAGATTGAATCCCATGATTGTAGACCAAGGTTTCTTGTATGTGAGCAATATCAAACTTATCCATGGTTGAGGACCATTGAGTTTCCACGAGTATGGCGAATTGGGTTGTCCCCTGCATACAACACGCAAGAGTTAACGCAAACTCATTGTAACCCCCGGTGCCGCAGATGGTGGTTTCCTTCTTCACCTGACTTTTTCATCGCTACTCGTCCGGCTCAGTATGTCCAACCAGTAGTTGAGCTACTGCCGGTATGGCTTACGGGATCATAAATGTACGCAAGCTTTACCACCACAAGGTGAGGGCATCGTCAAAAGGGGTTGCAATATCTTACAAACTTAGTTTATTTAAGCTAGGAACTCTCTATTCAAATCATCTTCTTTGTTTACCGAATTATGATCTAGAGGACTCTTATATTTCTATCTGAAAAAATGTTTAAAAGCTTTCAAGTTGACTCAATTTTAAAATAATCAAGTTTTTTTCAGATTAACTATCAAAGCCGGTTGCCCAATGAACTTGGAAGATTTTCCCATGGATGTACAACGTTGCCCATTGAAATTTGGATCTTGTGAGTATTTTAGTGAATTGTTGAGTGGATGTTCTGTATTGATATTCATAAAATGGATGGATATTCATAGTACAATATTTGGATTGTTGAACACTAATATGAACAAGTAATCAGTGAGTGTACTCGTAGATTAGAAATTACTCAACTAGAGGACTGGGTTGGTAGGTCGTGATTGAATGGATTCGACCAGACGAAAAGTTTAGTAAAACCTACCAGCTCGGATTTCTTTCTCATTAACCATGAAAGTTTATGTTTTTAAACTATTTAATCCAGTTGAAAGCTACAAAATTAAAATTTTGACTACACTTAACCCTCACTTGGTGAAAATCAGTAACTGGTCGAGTCCAATAGAGGACAATACTATGTAGTAAAACACGTATTGGAAAATTTGTAATTATCATCATGAATAGAAAACTGAAGGCGAATCTAACGAATCATTTTATTATTCTTTTCTCTAAAATAAACAACAATATCGAGTTCTCGAGTATTGGAAGTTGTGGTTCAATATTCAATGTAGATAGAAGCAAGAGAGTTGATAGTTTATTGCTTTATGCATCTTTTTACTTTGCCTTTACTGTCTTGATCTTTCACTGATACCTTTCGTACTTGGTCTATCTTGAAATGGAACTGATAAAGTGAAATTTTTACTGCAATTTCAGTTGGTTATACCGACGAAGACGTAATCTACAAGTGGAATGGAGCAAGACAAGTGGCAATAGCTGAAGATATGAAGTTATCCCAGTTTGATCTGATAGCTACCCCTGCTGCTAATCATACAGATAATATTTACAACAAGGATGAAACGACAGGTAAAATTGAGCTGATATTTCCATTTATATACTACTTCATTTCATATTATAGATGAGTACTCCAGACTGGTTGTGAGTTTTCATCTTCAGCGACACATGGGAAATTTCCTGATTCAAGTGTATGGACCTTGCGTCTTGTTGGTGGTTTTATCTTGGGTATCGTTTTGGTTGAATCGGGAAGCTACAGCTGATAGAGTTTCTCTTGGTGAGTTACTTCGATTGAATTTTATTCACCCTGACTACCTATCTACCCTAAAAATCGCATATTCTGAAGATACTCGACTTGTTGGTTCTCTGAAATGTTCTGTTTTTTTCTGCAGAAATGGAACTAGTGAAACTATTTTTGCTGAAATTACTTGACTTGTTTTCACCCTTCTCGAATCTTCTTCAGTTCTTGTACTATTTGGATCTGTATCTATAGAGTAGGGAGGGTGAGTGTAGACCCACAGCACTTAGGCCACATGTGTCCTATTGTACATCTTCCCGAGGAGTAGTCCTCCTATGTCATCGTCCATCATGTCCTTTCCAGGAAGGTGGACAGGTCACTTACAAACATCTCCTTTATATTAGCAGGTGTAGGTCAAGACTCGCCGAACACACACTCTCTTTGGAAACCTTGAGGTGTCTCACGGTGGTCTCCGCGAAGGTTGTGGAAGGTGCAGCGTCATTACTGTCGTTGCACGGTTTCTTCAACCTTCTTGGAGTTCCCTCCGTGGAGGTGCACAAGTAAGGGAGCTTCCTGCAGGGGCAGCCGGTTCCTTGCCTTCATTCCTGCGGCGGGCGATCTTGGTGCCCTTGATGTTGGAGGTGGAGTGAGGGAGAAGGAGGTTGCACTTATAGTTGCTGCCACTCTTGCCTCTTCCGCTTTTTTTCAGCGCCGCAAATGCGCTTACGCCTTGGCTTTGGCATCGGCGCCGCAAATGCGCTTACGCCTTGGCCTTTGTATTACATCATGAGGTGATCCGCTAAGTCCAGCCTCCTTCCAAGCGGTAGATTGGGGTGGACATTTCCGTTCATCCCCAGCCACCGCCCTAAATTGAGGTGAGCACTTCTGTCCAGCCTCGGGATTGGTTTTTGTTTTTGTTATTTCTGTTTTTGTGTTTGTTTCTTTCATGTGTGTTCACACGAGTAGCAAGGGAAGAGTTGATCACCTCTGGCAGAACTCTGCATTACCAGAGGTAGGCTGATTACAATGAGGTTTCGCCCAGTTCCCCAAGGGGATCGTTCGTAACCGTATATCACCCTGCGGCCATTCAGCTGTCGGTACGAATCCTTATACCTTAGCTTGGGTAGGCTGGTCCACTGTGGTATGTTTTGCAAAGGCTTTTAGGGAGTTTTAGTTCCCCTCACCCTACTTATCTCTGCCACTGACCAGGAGTCCGGCGACCCCGTCCGTAAGGCCACATTGGCTTCCCGGACAGGGCCTTCAGTCCCCTAGCCGTTCCCCTATCCGCCACCTAGGGAGGCGCCCAATAGGTAGAACAACCCACGAGGTACTTTTTGGATTTTTTTATTTATTTATTTTTAGAAAACAAACATGAATACAATTCGTACACATGTTACAAATTCGATAAAAGGCAGTGTCTTTGCCGGTTAGATGAGTTACCGAGTAGTCCCGCTCTTCTGCATAAACTATCTGTGGAATTCATATTTTGTAAGTAGAGAGGAAAGTCCAAAACGCCTAATCTTTCTGATGCAGGAAGGCTTGAGTAAAGTTGCTAGCATGGGAAGCGAATTATCCTGCGGGTTCTGATTCTAAACATCACTATACCTACCACCAGTTAATAGGAAGCAAATGAAATTTCACTTCCAGCATAATGCCTCCCAAAGTTCATTACCACCCTTTCGTTGCATGGGGTCTTCCAACAGGGACTTCCGAACTTTGACAATTGATAACGGCCATCTTGTTGAAGCTACTTCTGTCAAATTAGTCTGTTTTGCCAAATCACCATGGACCATTCAACAATACGTGCAAATAATAAAAATGTTTTATCAAAATAGGTATTCTGTTCGGGCAACCTACTGCGCGTTTCTCCCATTTTACGGTCGCCATATTCGTCTTATCGAGAGGACTATTTGAAATGTGGTGGATAAATTCGAGTCCATTGGTACAGTAAATGATCGACCAACACCCGTACGTCGACGAAACGTAAGATCTGCCGAAAACATCGCCGCTGTCTGTGGGGGTGTGCAGGATAATCCGAGGCAGTCGATTTCGCGTCGGTTTTAAGAACTCGGCCTTTCGCAGACCACAACATGGCGAATTTTGCGGTGTGACTTGGGCCTGCACTCGTACAAAATTACACTGGCCCAGGAATCGAAAGTAAACGCTCATAGACACCGACGTGTGGTAGCTGAATGAGCTCTGGAGTAGTTGGTAACTGACCTAAATTTTGATCGAACAATTATCTTCAGCGATAAGGCCCATTTCTGCTTGAGTGGCTACGTAAACAAGAAAAATTGTCGAATTTTGGACGATACCAATCCACATGAGATCCAAAAGCGTCCAATGTATCCCAAAAAAGTCACTGTTTGGTGTGGACTTTGGGCTGGCGGTGTCATAGGACCATATTTTTGAGAACGACTTTGGCCAGGCCATCACTGTCAACGGCAAGTACTATAGGTCGATGATTACCAACTTGTTTTGGCCTGAATTGGATTACCTGGACACCAACGACATGTGATTTCAACAGGACTGCGCTACGTGCCATGAAGTTCATGCCACGTTGGATATACTGCACGAGCGATTTGAAGACATCTCACGTGGAGGTGATGTGAACTGGCCACTGAGATCGTGCGATTTGACCCTATTAGACTTTTTCTTGTGGGGGTTTCTCAAACCGCAGGTGTATGCGGATTAGCAACAAACCACTGCGGTTCTCAAAGCCAACATAACCCATGCCATCGGTCAAATTCGGACTGATATAGCCGTCAGAGTCATGGAAAATTGGACCTTTCGGATGCGCTCCACCAGAGACGTACGGTGGACATTTGAAAGATGTCACACACAGTGGCATCAATAGGTCTTTCAAACTAATAGAAAATTTCGATGATAGGTCACACACACATTGTTTAATTTAAGGACGCTCTTAATGAAATGCCCCATATTTTGTTTATCTTTCTGGAGCTCTCAGAACCCAAACTCGAAATCAAAAAAGCAACCAAAATAGTACATTTTGTCTAATTTATATTTGTCGAGTTTTGGTTTTGAAGGCACCAGTTTATGCGGTGAATTTTATCGTATCTTTGGTAACTCCAGAACTTATAAATAATAATAATACTAATAATAAAGGTCTTTTATTAATTTACAGTTATATTCATACATGCGAACTAAAAAAGAAGTAAATGGGCGGGATTCAGTATAGCAATCGGCACAGGAAGGTACAGACTGACATCTGTTCTTCCACCTAACCCAAAACAGACTACTAAATGGCAAATCAGAACAAACACAAAAAAACAGTGATTACTTTCAAATGCACCTACGTTACAAGGAATATAAACATTGCTATCGCTAAATTACTAAATAAAATCACAGTTCAAATTGAAGATTAGTCAAAGAAACATACATAATTGTTTTCTAAACATTGTAAATGGTATATTAATAATTCTCAGATCGAACTAATTATTAATTCTCAGATCGCACTGAAGATGAAGAGTGGGAAAAATATATAGAATTTAAAAAATAAAAAATAGAACCTACTATCTATCATCTACTATTGAACTTCGGTCAGTTCTATCCATATGACACAGAAACGGTAGGTAGTAACTTTCTGAAATTTTTTTTCGAAAGTTACCAATTCTAAATACTTTGCTCAGGTATTTGAAACAGATCTTGTGTTACATCTACCTCAGGTGCTACATTCTTTGCTCAACTGCACCAAACAGTTTTCCACATTTCATATGTGGTTTCTCTGTTCGCATCAAATTTTAGATTCGGAAAAATCTGTGAAAGTTTTTTGCAGTCTGATTTTTTAATTATGTCGAGCTTTTGTCATAAAAATATCAGTAACGAATGTCAAGTGATTTCATATAAGTTTGATTGTGTAGCCTCAATTCTCGAAGTTACTTCAGATGTTATAGCAGCTTGACGTTCTTCCATTCATTTCGACATTTTATTAATTTTTCTTCCTCTTTTCGGGCGATATTGGTCTCGCCAGGAGCTGAAAACTCCACGACAATTATCTTCTTGCTCTGGTGGTCGAGAAGGAATACATCAGACTCATTAAATTGTATAAGCTGAGGGTGGGGAACAACGGATTCAATATTCCCTGGAGAGCAGGGCAACACCGGTGTCTCGTCAATACCGTAGGTGGTAGTGAAGCAATCTTAGGGTCGCGTTATGTCAATGGATATAGGCCGAGACCGCATATGCTGGACATGCTGACAGCAAGTGCATTAGGGTCTCGGACGCCTCGCGGCAGGCCCTGCACCTTATGTCAGAAACTTCTATACCCATCACGCAACTGCGGTAGACAAAGATGTTGAAGACATCATCCTGACAGACCATCCATGAAGACTAAGATGTTCAATGTTATTGAAGAAGACTCCATGCATAGCCGCAGAAGTGAGGTGATCTTTGCGGCTTCTATATGAGCTTTTTGCTGAACGGGTTCCAACTTGATGGTAACAGAGTTGTGATCACCTTGTTCAGTGTTGAAAACTAGACAGAGTTCATCAGCTGCTCGGGGCGCTACCCTCAAGAGAAATACTCCAATTTCTGCTTTCTCATGGTCGCGGGCCACCCAGAAGAGGGGATCCGAACTCCTGACTTTACAGGCTTCATGCGGTACCATTCTGTCATGTAGACACTCCCAACTCAAAAGTGCATGCCCTTCCTGTTGTTGGGGGAAGTACAACCGTGAAACGAACGATTTGGGATGCAAACTCCTATAGAGATGCATCATTTTTCAAGTCTTTACGTCGAGTTGATACAGCTCCTTCCGAGTCCATTTCACTACTTCAAACGAGTAGAGTAAGATTAGAACGGCAAGCATATTTATTGCAGCAGCAGATCTGTCAGAGTTTGTGCTGATACTTGCCGCGGAGAAAGTTCGTCACTGCTTTTACCTCTTGTGAGTGGCGTTTTTCCACCTCGAGGTAAATATACGTCTCTCCGGCATCCAGGTGGTGTAGGATGCTTCCATCAACGAACTGCACATCCTCTCCGTAGTCCCCGTATCGTCCTGTTTTGCGATGGACCATTGCACTTGTTCTAGCCCGAATTCCAATTCCATATTATTATTTGTTACATTGATTATTAATGTAACGTTAACCCTTTCGAAGTTAGACAGAGTCATACTGGCTATAAATCTTAGAATTTTTATATCGTTCAAAGCTATACTATATTTCATCTTTAGACTAGATAAAATATCTATCTATTTAGATACAGTTATGATATGTATCGTCGGTAAAATAAAAATATGGTATAAAAATTTAATGAGGAATATCAATATGAGATATTTGTACAAATAACCTCTACGATTACAAGGTATGGATGGTTCGAATTTGTTTCAAAGTGTTGGATATATATGAAACTGATATATTTTTCCGCAGGTATAACAACTGTGTTGACGATGACTTTTCTTGGAATGGAAGCGAGAACTGATCTACCAAAAGTGCCGTATCCTACAGCGTTGGATTTTTTCGTATTTCTCTCCTTTTCTTTCATATTTGCCACCATTATACAGGTGAATATAATTGTGAGTTTTTATCAACTATATAATGTCCCTTTAGTTTGCAGTGGTACATTACTTCACTAAATATGGCTCTGGTGAATGCTACTTCAGTTCCGAACTGAGTTCTGATTCCAGCTCAGAAGAGGACGACTGGACATACGATTTGTCAGAAATAATACATTCCACTTCGAAAGTAAGTCTAGCACAAATGTTCAGCTGTTGACATTGAGTCTGGCCGGTTGAAATCATATATCTGGGATATGTTTCTTTATTAAATTAATTGACCACTTGAATTCGTCTCCACTTTATGTTCTTTCTATATATTTTTGCTTCATGAATTATTTTTATTTTTCGTATCCATCAATGAAAACTCTCAGCTATATTTTATTTATGTTTACTTATGATGTCTCTGTTTTAAAATATGTTTTTCCGTTAATGAGCTGTCGCCCCCATACCAACGACAACTCTCAGAAGTTGAGAAACTTGTGCGAGCTAAGGACTACCTTTTAACGTGTGATTCCTAACACGGTTGCAGAATCATTCCAGCTTCAATCAGATAAATTCTCTCGAGAAAAATATCTGGTCGAGGCGGGAATCGAACCCAAGGTCTTCCGATCGTGAGTCGGGCGCACTACCACCGCGGCCAATTCCACAACAACTTATGAAGTGATGTTAATAATCTTGTTTCATTTGTGTTTGAATGTTCTTCAATATCTATTTATTTAGAAAAAAAAAACTAGCGAAAATTCTTGTCAATAATTCAGAGTATGATTTTATAACTCACATATCTGATGATACGGCCGAGGTTTTCAGTGTCACTATTTAACGGGTTTGAACTCGAAAAATAGTGACACTGAGTGATGTCAAAATTAGGTTGGGTTAGTCTAAAAGTATATATGTATCGTTTATTTAGCACATGCTAATGCAATTAAAATATTAGTCTTAATCTAGGTTAAAAATTTAAATGTCACAATTAAAATTCAAAATTTAAAATCATGTACATTGAAACATATAAATAAAAACAGCATAATAAATAAAATAAAATAAAAAGAAGAAAAAAAAAACTGTATTAGCAGGTTCCTATACTAAACACTTTGTAGGTCTAAAAGGTGCACTTTTAATTTTCTTTTAAATATATTTAGAGAGGTAGCATTCTTAATATCCTCCGGTAGTTCGTTGAATGCTTGAACTCCTTTAATGAAAACTGTATTATTTGAATTGACATTACTAGTCTGACGTATATGAAAGTTATTGCGACTTCTTGTATTGTATTCATGATATTCAAAGTTATACTTTAATTTGTCATGTCATACAGGAACATCACCAGTTTTAATTTTAAAAATAAATATTAATGCTAAATAACGAAAGTAATTTTTTACTGATAACCATTTTAATGTATTCAACATTAATGTTATATGTGTTCTTCTATCACAAGATAATATTACTCTCATTCCTCTATTTTGAAGTTTCTGAAGTCTTCCAATTTCATTTTGGTTTAGTAAGTACAAGATGGTTCCACAATAAGTAAAATGAGGTAAAATCAAGCTATTATACAAAAGTAAAAGCGACCATTGGTTTAAGTGCTTAGATTGCCTACTTAAGTAATTAATTTTGAATGTTATTGTTTTAATAATATATGAAGCATGTTCCTTAAAAAACATTCTATTATCTACAATTACACCCAAATATTCAATTTTTCTTACTAACTCAATTTTATCATTTGATATTTTAATATTGTAATTATATTTTTTGAAGTCATGGTACTGCTTGTCAAGTGATTGGGTCTATTCGATCTCCACTGCAACCCTCAAAGGTTTATTGTGGCGCACACCTATTCACACTCGACCAAATAAACCCAGCTTCTTAACGAAGCCGAATAGTTAGGTCAGACGGAAAGAGTGCGGCTCTGCTAAACTCTGAAAACCAGATTCAGTGCGCAGCGGGGCCGGCACACACACTGTCTTCCGACAGTCCGATTCTCTGCATATTATGATTCAGATGATAGTGACCTGTACGAAGGCCTGTTAGACATCGTAGTTCATCCCCACTATAGTCCAACGAATGTTTGGTTTCAAGATCCGAAAGGGTAAACGCTTTGGACTGAGCCAATCCTGAAAGATTTTGTCAAAAGTTCATAAATCTTTTTGCCATCCAGGTGTTCAATGTTTGCCAGGTTCTGGTTAGATGAAGCTGCTTGCAGCATCCTCTTTTGCGAAGAAGTCAGCAGCCTCATTGCTTTCCAGGCTAGTATGGCCAGGAATCCAGATCAGAGACACTTTGTTAAGTCTTCCTATTGAAGAAAGCCGTTTTTGGCAATTTTCCACCGATTTAGATGCTGCTCGATAGGAAACAAGAGTTTCCAACGCCACTTGACTGCCCAAAAATATTTTTATCTCCTTGTGTATGAGGTTGGATTCCAACAATCTCTCCGCACACAATTCAATAGCATAGATTTCCGCTTGAAATACAGTCGCATAGGCAGGTTCATATCCTGGGTCTGCGACTGAAAACACCTGCATCAGAAGATGAAGGTGTTTTTGGTCCATCTGTGAACCAACAAATATATTATAAGCTTTTTATATTTCTTTCTCCCGGAGAATCCAGTCCTCTCTACTCGAGAACAGTACTGAATAAGGCATTTGACAGTTAGAGAATGTCAATATCACTCAACCCTAGAAATCAAATGTACATTACATTAAATAATAATAATGATGATTTATTATCTCAAAAAACCATACATAGTTGAAGTACAAAAAAATGATTCAGAACTATGATATAACTGAGCATGAACATAGCAAAAAGAAAAGATAAATCTTATTTAAATTGAAAGGGTTATATTTTTAGGAGTGATTCATTTTTGGGAAAGAAAGTTTTTGGCTTTCTACTACTCCATCTTGATATAAAAAAATGTGGCACAGACCTTTAAAAAACACTAAAACAAAGTCAAGTCAACCAAATCGCGCGGGAAGTACGTGCAAACCCGCCCTTACAGAAAGTGCGCGAAAAATCAGCTCCATAAATGACACGGCAGAAATGAGAGCTTCAGTTTCCATCAAAACCCGGAAACCAACCAAAACATTGACGCCAGCCGTGAAAGCCTATATTTCTATATCATGGATGATGTCTTTGCAAGCTTAGAGGGCTTGGCTCAGTTTGTGGGTCACCTGGTGGCTATATTTCTTGTAATTGAACGGATATCAACTTTTGGCAACTTTTCTGACTTCTGTTTCTAATGAATAGCAGATTGAACATCCAAAGATTTTCTATTTATTCAATATGCAGTGACATCAACTCTCACGTTTTCCGGGAAACACATACCCAATATCCAGAAAAAATTTACTTTGGGCAGGAATATTGGGAAACCGTATTGTAGGACCTCTATTGATCAAAATTTAACAGGGAAACTGTATTTGAATATGCTGGAAACTACCGTTGCCCCTCTCATCACTGAAATCGTGGAAGCGAATCGTAATGAATTCAATATGGATATTGTATTCCAACAAGATGGAGCACTACCATATTATTCCAAACAAGTAAAAAACTATTTGAATACTACTTTTCCCGATCGTTGGATTGGCCGTCGAGGTCCTACAGAATGGCCAGCCCGCTCGCCAGATTTGACACCTTCGGACTTTTTTTATGTTGCTATTTGAAGCAAAAGATGTACGAAACTGAACCTGCTTCAATATTGGATATACGGCAGAGAATAATAAATATTTTCAGAGATATTGACGTTACTGTGTTTGAAAATGTTCGGCGTGAAATATCGGATAGGTTTTTCATATGTCAAGAAGTTCAAGGCAACCATTTTGAGCATCTTCTGAACTGACCTCAAGCTTATTACCTCATATTATGTAGTTAAATGTCAATGTATTCAGGCAATTATTAAAAGTTCCGCCATTTTGTAGTAATTGAAGATATTGACATTATATTCTAGGGTTGTGAAGCTATCGCCAAGAGCTTCAAAATTATGTGTCTCAAAACCCCCTTTCCATTTAATTTTTTTCCCAGATGTCGCCCAGTCGCCATCTTGAAAGTTTTATCTGTCAATTTCACTTCAAAATAAAGTATTCATTAATTTCATTCTCAAAAATTTCACTTTTTTTGAGTTGACCCGTTCAAAAAATAAAAGGGAGGAGGACAATAAAGAAATGCACTGTATATTGATGTGTAAGCGACTCAAAGGCAAGAGGCAAGTACATTTCATTTCAATTGAGAGGGGTGAATTTTAAGGAGACATTGATTTTTATATAAAGATGGAAAAGTAGAAAACCAAAGCTTTTATTTTATTTTCAATTTCAATACCAAGTTACATTTGAGTGATTTTAATTATTCTATCAGTTAGAATCTCTTTATACATAGTTTCTCGTGCCAACTGATGAGAGAGAAGCTGATGACATAGGTCTTGAAAAAATTCTAACACAAAATACTTTCCTGTTTTCAAAATAGAAATGCCTACTATGACTTTGAATATTACTGGAGTTTTTTTCCAACACCAAATCGTTATTTTTAACATCTCGACACATGTTTCGATCACCAAGTGATCATCTTCAAAGAGAAAGATTCAATTTTAATCTTCCTCTTTGAAGATGATCACTTGGTGATCGAAACACGTGTCGAGGTGTTAAAAATAACGATTTGGTGTTGGGAAAAAACTCCAGTAATATTCATTACTACACCAAAGGTTCTAAACAGTGCATCATAAGTACTATGACTTTGTCAAATGTTCTGAAGAAGTAGATAAAAAACAGTTCATTCAGAAAAAAGTTCTAGTACCGTAAACAATTCAATAAGTTCAGGCAAACAGTTAACTCATTTCAATCGAAAATATTAATAGAAACCAACGTGTAGTTTGTATGTTACAGATTTCCACTTCTACAGCGAGGGCACATCGTCAAAATGAAGAAGTCATACCCTTGTCAGCTCTGCCGGTACCCCAAAAACGGTCTGATTCCTTAAGACGATTTTCTTGTCTTGGGCGTTCTGAAACTACAACTACTCGAATGTCTCCGAACACCAAAGATTTTAGCCGACGGTTCTCCTCTCAAAGTAACAGACAACAGAGGAAAAAGAAGAGAACTCCGAGATTCAACTCTGTATCCAAAATCGACAGAGCATCTCGTGTTGTGTTTCCAGTACTCTTCATAGCGATTAACGTGTTTTATTGGTATTCATATTTGTCTAGAAATAGTAGGATGGAACATGACTGATTTTCCAAACTATAATTGTTAGTCCAGTAACTATTTTATTTTCATTTATGTTTCATTTATTTGTTGCACGAGATCACTCTTGTCATAATAGCACGAACATCATATATTCATATGCAACTTGAGAATTGAATAAAAGACTAAAAATGTGAAAGTAAGATTTTAAGTAAACCCAAGATGAGTAAAAGCACCAAGATAAACATAATTATAAATTACTAGTACTATGTTGCTGTATCGCTGCTGTTCCAATGTTTTGACAGAATCAGAATCAACGAACTTAGGCGTGCGCAGCGTTATAGAACACTGCTTTCAAAAAATTGTTCTACTGCGCCATCTAGTGGCGAGTTACTTAAAAATTGATAGCCTAAAAACCTTCTCTATGAAAAATTAGTTTCATCGTGATTGGTTGAGCGATGTAGAAGTTTATCACTTACTAACCAATCAACCAACCAACCAACCAACAACCAACAATACAATCTTCAAACACCTATTTTCCCCCTTGGAGGCAGAAATTCCTGATTGCCTTTCTTGATGCTTATTTACTCTATACAAAGAACCTACCTCCATATTTCAAAATTTTAGGTTCAGTAGCTTCGGCTGTACGTTAATATTAGTCAATCAATAGGTACCCACTCATACAATATATGTATCTGTATCTGTAGAGTAGGGAAGGTGAGTGTAAGCCCACAGCACTCAGGCCACATGTGACCCATTGTACATCCTCCCGAGGAGTTGTCCTTCTAGGTCATCATCCATCCTGTCCTTTCCAGGAAGGTGGACAGGTCACTGGGATATAAGTGTTCGCACGGTGGCCAGTCCGAACACTTATACAATATTGAATAACATCAGCGAAAAAAAACTGAAAGGATTAGAATGAAATACATTGGTAATCCTACTCCTAATAATATTATAAATGCGTGAAGTTTGTGAGGTTTGATGAATGTAATGTATGTATTTACGTTGTTTACTTTTTCGGCTCATCAGATTCAAATGTAAGTTGGTATATAGATAGATCATGACCTGGAATAACACAAAGGGTAGGTTCCCACGGTAACGAGCGCAAAACAGCGGGGAACAGCTAGTATTGTATAAGTGGGTACCTATTGATCCATCCTCACAGACTGTCACATTCATAGTATTAGTATAAACATAGTTCAAAATACAGAAATAAATGGTGAAGATAATATGAAGGATACATACAAGTAATAAGTAAATACATTAAGTATTTGGTGTATAATTAAATTTCTAGTCCCTCTTAGAAGATATTTGAATTTTGACAGGCCTATTCCTGTGATATCTAGATGATGGTTTATTTCATTGAACATCCTGAGTTAACGATCAATTAGAGAGTGCATTCCAAAGTTTGTATGATGAAAGGAAACGTGAAACAGATCATTATTTCTGAGAGATCTTTTTGGCACTGGTAAGTTCCGGGTAAGTAATAAGGCCATTAATTAATTTGTATATGAATATAAGGTCAGCTTTCCCAACATGAATAGGTTAAGATTGTTTAAAGGAATTGTATAATCATGATTGTGTTCATTCATTTTATAAGCACAGAATCTCAGAAATGTATGTTGGACTCTTTCCAATGTGACATAGTGATTTGTTCAAAATGGCGACCAAATAATCGAGCCATATTCTAAGTGGGAGACTATTGAGGCAGGATGAACCGTATTCACTGAATTCATTGATAATGGTTTGAGTTGCGTAAATATAAAGCCCAGTAGCTTTCAAGTATTGACAGCAATATGAATTATATGATCTACAAATCGCAATTGCTAGATCCTTCATTGAAGTGATAGGTGTTAGTGGATTACTATTCAGGAAATAGGAGGTGTGAAATTTTCTATTCACTTTGTGAAAGCTGATAAAACTACATTTGCTATTCAAACTATTCAAATCATGTTGTAACAGAGCAGTATCGTCAAATGATTCTATTGGTCTGAAACTATGTAGATCATTTGCCAACATTAGAAAGTTTGAATTTTCCAAACATTCTGTAATTTCATTAACAAAAATGTTGAATAGAAGAAGTGCACAATTGGACCCTGTGTAAAATATATATATTGTGTCAGATCAAGTAGGTAGGTGTATAATTCACTGGTCAGTATAAAATTTTTGCAGAAATGGAAACCTAAACAAATTTATGCAATCTTTTACACTGGGTATGTTTCTAGGTACAGTCACTATCACTTCAACTAAAATGTATAATTGTGCTTCTGAATTTAGCTAAGGCATTTGATACAGTGGATCCTGACTGTACGTCTACAGAGTTTGTCTACTTCAGATATAAGAGGCGTAACATGGAATATACTGAAGGATTACCGTACAAACATGATTCGAAGGCTCAAAGGCCACTGCCGGTGACCAAAGACGTATGGCTAAAGCAAAGGCAAAAAAAACTAGAGAGACAGAGAGGTCAGAGACGTACCACAAGGAACTGTTCTTGGACCAAGTCTATCCTTCTTTTATATTGATATTTTCGGAATATCAAATTGTCTACGGAAGATTATATTATTTGGTGATGACATGGCTATTATTAAAACGCGGGAGGATGTATATATACAGGCAGAAGTAGGATTTGGAATAATTCCCAACTAGTTCAGTAGTGACCTACTGAGTGTTAAGGTGGATATAACTGAATTTATTGCTTTTTCTTCCACAATCAAAGATCAATAAACTGTAGATGATATCAACGTTGATGAATATTCTTGTTCAAACATCTCGAATTGCACTAGTTCTTCTATACATGAAACAGATTCAGTGAAATGTTTGGGTGTAACAGTGGAAATATGTCTCTGTTAGATTGAAAGCATTAACAATACTAACTCAGTTACGTAAACTCAATAAAAGGTAAAACTGAAGCCTTTGGCGTAGAATAATCCAGAACACGAACCTTTCCCAATCACTAGAAACGACATACTCTTCTCGACAAGCACCAATCTTCCTTACTGTATTCTTGAATGACATTTATGCCAACATGGAGGGTTAGAATACGATATATTTCTGGTATACAGGTATATTCCTGACAGTTCACATCACTGTGGACAGCACAAACGTGCTGGGTTAAATTTTTTAGTGCATCGTCTTTTGACTTTCCCTCTAACACATGATAGGTTCACAAAAGAAAGACGTACAATACAGGAAATAGCAGCCACTAACGGTTTCTCGAGGGGTATTGTAGATGGCATAATGAGGAAAAAGAAGTTTAGGTAAAGAATGAACGAAATCTCAACTTTCAGAAAGGACAAAAACCAAGATAAATACATCTCATTTCCATACCACCAATATACGAGGAACTTTGGAAGGAAAGATTTTTAAGGAACTAGGTATGAAGGTGGTTTTTAAAACAAGTCATACACTACAGAGCTTTTTGGCAAGTCCAAAAGACAAAGTCGAGAATTCGGAAAAGTCTGGAATTTACGAAATTGAATGTAAGGACTGCGTTGCAAAATATTATGGACAGACAAAAAGATCTATTGAAGTAAGATATAAGGAACACATAGCACACTTAAAATATGGAAGACCTGAAAAATCAGCAGTCGCCCATCATATTTTGCAACAAAACCATTCCATAGACTTCAGTTCATTAACATTAGTTAGACAAGTTAACAACAACAGGCAACTAGATGCCTATGAGAGTGTAGAAATGAGTAAACATAATAATATTATGAATAACGATGACGGACCAATACCAAAGAGACATAGCTTGTTAAAATTAAATGATGTTGTTGGGTTTACTGATTACTACATAAGGACACATTGCAAAAATAAATTTGGATAGGCAATATTGTGAAATTAATTTTTATATAGCTGAAAATTGTTTTATATAAACATATATTGTAAGATAAGGCAAAATTGTAAAATTAATTTAGATTGGTATACCTGTATGGTTAATACAGGATACCAACCTGGATGGTTTACCTATATGGGTTACCTTTATAGTATAAATAGGGTTAGCTCGCATTAGTTTCTTGTTTTAATCTTCCTCTTTGAAGATGATCACTTGGTGATCGAAACACGTGTCGAGGTGTTAAAAATAACGATTTGGTGTTGGGAAAAAACTCCAGTAATATTCATTGAATGTCATGAATGTGTGACTAACTTCAGTATATTTCATTTTTAGTGTAGTGTTATGACTTGTAAATGAACTTTATATGAACAGTCCACGTTAAAATGCATGCATATTGATGGGCAGTATGGCAAAACAGGTTGAACTCTAAAAATTGTCAATGCTATTCTAGTAATTAAAAACATTGTACTCGTACATATAATCGATTTCAGTTATTTACTCCACTGCTTCACTTGTAAATTGTATACTGTTTCGTATTTGTTTACGTTGACGAATGAAAAATCAATTTTACACATTGCAATTTGCAAGAGATGGTAGTCAATGACATGGCTGTACTTCAGTAAAGAGGGTAAGGGAAAGGAAAATTACATTTCCCCATGCTATTTCACGAAGGGGAGTTGCGTGCAGTGCGATCGACAGTTTGCTGGTGGAAAACAAAGCCTGCTCTTTTCTGTTTATCCAAATTGACGCGTCTCAAGATTGAAATTGAATATTTCTTGTGGACATCGTCATACACATTATTCATGTGAGCGATTCTTTCAAATCGTTTAGTGGGTCCGTCATTAGCGATGTTCATTGTTTAGATGTTGTATTCGAACAAAGGGTTGAATCGTTGATTGTGAACAGACAAGTTGATGTTACTGAAGATGTAATTCAGGTTGGAAATCTTGTGTATGTGATTTTTAAATGGAAACCGATGAAAATGATGAGGTAAGTGAAGTCGACATTCATTCACTTTCTTGTATACATTATGATTTATTGCCAGACTTGTTATGAAAAAATAATTTTCAGAACAACTAGATGGGATAAATATTACAATAATTGCGGTAATTTTTGAATTACCTGTAATTTCAAAAGTGATACTGATCTTTCACACAATAAAAGAATTATTAACACTGTTGTTTTTACGATATTTGAATAATTATCAGTTATTTCCTAGAAGGATATGATTCATGGATGTCCTTACTTTTATCAAATCTCAGTATAAAATCAAAATGAGTATGCAGAAAATTAAAGATTCTTCAGTAGGTCAATTGAATGAGCCTATCAAATTTATTTTCAGTTTCTCTGGAAGATCATTATATATCTTAAATAAAATATTGATTTCTCCCTAAATTTTGAGCGATATGATTCAACTAATAGTTTTTTTTGCTTGTCTTGTATAATAATCTTGCATGGTATTTATTTTATTTAAATCTAAATTCGGATGTTTGTAATTTTTTCTAACGGAATGAATGAAACAACAAATATTACAGAATGTATAGAAGTCGGGGACAAACGAAACATTGTTTGGATTGTGAAAAATATTTCAAAGGTCTACTTTAGTATTAAAACTACAAAAATTATGTAAATCGCTGTATAATACCGCTGATCTAACCCTGTTTTTTCTTCTGTCCTGGGAATAAGGCAAATACACCACAAAACAGTTCAACATACATACATTTATAACCTCTTTTGTCTCAATTCTATTAGTTTCTATACAAATGAGGTGCAAAATGATTACATAGCTTAAATTGAAAGTGTTAAATTTTCAGGAGAGATTAATTTTCGGGAAAGAAGGGTTTTGGCTTTCTAATTCCAAAAATTAACAAAGAAGTAACTTTCAGATACAAACTGAAAGAAAACGTTCTCCCGAAACAATTAGATACTTTCATATGAACATTTAATTAAATAGAAAACATTTTTTCCTATTTAGTTTGTACTTCAAACATTCGTTATGGAGTTGAATCAGATATCAGTAACAGGATTGCTACAGAATATAGTACATAAACAAGATTTCTATGGCTGAGAATGAATTTAATAAGCAAATGAATGTCATTACGCACCATTTTCGATTACTTGAGTAGATTGAATTCATTCCTGAGTCGTAATTTTATGAATGAATTGAGTGCTTTATCTTGTAATGTTATTCCTATTGGTGTGTTATTTCGAAACATCGGATGTCCGCCTTTGAGGATGACAGTGTTTGTTTGAAGGTGATTGGCAATGTTTCATGGTGAATTTCATTAGTTCGGACTTCCATTGTCTAATATGATATAATATGATTTGAAATCTCTGAAATAACAAATGAAAGTTAAGATTAAAAAGAATAGTTGAAAATAACAATTATATTAAGCAAAAAAACCTGAAAAGAAATTACGAGTACAATCAAATTGAAAAATCATGAAACAATTCAAGATTAAATAAATGAAATGAAATAGAAATTAAAAGATTTCAAGCCAAGTTACTTTACGACGTTTCGATTGTTAGTATCCACACTCCTCTTCGGGTGATGACTGGACTCTCAGAGGTCCAAAATTCACGAGGATGACAGTGTTCCCTGTGAGTGGAATTTTACCTTTTTCAGATACTAAATTGTGTAGCAATTTTGTGAGTGATATCTGATTCAATTCCATAACGAATGTTTAGAATACAAATTGAATAGAGGAAAGTGTTTTTGTATAATTCAGCGTTCATATAAAAGTATTTGTTTCAAAAGTATTTTTCTTTCGTGTAATTCAATGTTTATATTAAAAAAATTGTTTCAAGAGAACTTTTTTTCCAGTTTTTGTCTGAAAGTTACTTCTATGAATAATCTACACATCTTCGTCAAATATTCTTAATTGCTTTGCATTTCATTAGCTCGGACTTTCATTGCCTACTATAATATAAATTGATTTGAAATGCATGGAAGAATCTGTATAAAAACTGAAAAATAACAATTGTATTAAGCAAAAAAACTGAAATTACAATGAAATAAAATACAAGCAACAACCACAAAATGAAAAAACTCGAACATATTGACACGAGATGAAAATTAAAAAATTAATAACAAGAAAAAAAATAAAAGATTCCAAACCAACTCCACGATGTTTCGATTGTTAGTATCCATAATCGTCTTCGGGTGATAACTGGACTAATTCCTCCGAGATGTGACTATTTATAGATCATTCGAGTGCTTTTACCTGTCCCCTCCTCCCTCTCTCCGCCTCATCAGTTTTAGCGGAAGCTGACTGTTTGGCGGGTATTGGTCGTGTTCTGCTTGAATTGAGGTTTCCATATGTTGCGTATCTCTACGCTAGCTTGGTTGAATGCGTTGTTGGACAACATATATGCGGCTTCTTTGAATTTTCTCCTAAACCAGAGTTCTTGTGGATGATTTCAGCTTGAGCCCACTTGAAACTCTGGCCATTGAAGAAGCCCACAAGAGTCCCCGAGTCTGGTTGCGATACGTGGAACCACTGAAGCACATCAACATCTTAAGTCCTTCTATCACTTTCACAATGGAGAAGAGAGTCCACAACGAAATGCCTTTCTTAGACGTATCGGTGAAGAGGATCGACACAAAATGGAAAACATCTGTGTATCGAAAACCCACTCACACAGGACAGTATCTGAATCAGGAATCCAACCACCATCAATCGACTAAGAGAGGAATCATCAAGACTCTACTAGACCGTGCTTTCGGGCTCTGTAATACAAAAGAAGGTCTTGAAAAGGAACTAGGAATCATCAAAAATTACCTTCAACGGAATGGTTACTCCTAAGTGATGGTGGAACAGGATTTAGCTAGAAGACAGCGAGAGCTCCACAAGGAAGAGAAGCCTCCACATCCAGTACTTGTACTTTCCTAAGTCAGAGGATTGCCGGAAAAGATAAGAAGGATTGAGTCCAAGTATAACATCAGAACCTGCTTCAGATCTGGGAGCACTATCCGTTGCAGTCTCATAAAAATCAGGCCACCAAACGCGGACTGCGATTCCAAGAATTGCATTTACCGGATACCCTGCGGTGAAACTAAGAGGCCGTTGAAAGTTCGCATTGCCGAGCATAAGAAACATCCATAAGGAAGAACACTGGTTAAGGAGAAAATTCAAAGAAGCCGCATATATTTTGTCCAACAATGCATTCAGCCAAGCCTAATCCCGCCAAACTCCCGCCAACTCCCGCCAAACGGTCAGCTTCCGCTAAAACCCATGAAGCGGAGAGAGGGAAGAGGGGATAGATGAAAGCACTTGAATTACCTATAAATAGTCAGATCTCGGAGGAAGTCCACCGAAGACGATTGTGTATACTAACAAATGGAACGTCGTGAAGTAACTTGGTTTGGCATCTTTTAATTTTCTTTCTTGTTAATAATTTTTAATTTTCATATCGTGTTAATGGTTAATTTTTTTTTATTTTTTTGGTTATTGCTTGTAATCTATTTCATTGGAATTTCAGGTTTTCTATTAATACAATTGTTATTTTTCAGTTATTTTTTTAATTTTTTTTACAGATTCTTTCAGGTATTTCAATCATATTAGACAATGGAAGTCCGAACTAATGAAATGCACCACGAAACATGGTCAACTACCTTCAAACATTTTTTTGTATAAAGATGAAGTAGAAAGTCAAAATCTTTCTTTTCCAAAAATTACATAACTATTGGACTTGGTTGCATAAAAAATGTCCGTTTGGGAATATTCGTAACTTTGCAACCTATAAATATATTCCGCATGTTTAAAGGTAAGACCTCGTTGATCCTTAGCTCGCCCAAGTTTCGAGTTCTAAGAGTTGTCGTTTGTGAGGGTCAATAGAAAAACAGATTTCAACAGACAGATACGCTATGTTGATTATTTTCAAATATTATTTACCGAGTGCACCAAGTTTCATCGGTTGTTATGTGTATATCCATAATTTTTGAAATTTTTAAATTTCACCTTAAATTATTATACACGAAAGAGTTCGATTTTTTTTTCTGATTGATGCGGCCGTTACTTGATGAAGATAATAGTAATTTCATAAACTATACCTTAAGATTCGTATTAGCGAAACATGTCGTGATATATTTTTCAAATAAAGTTTGTGGAGATCAAATCGTAAGGTGTAGTTTATGAAAAAAGTTTGATTCTGAGCGAAATTTCGAAAATTATGGGAATGCACGCATTTTGATACATAAGAGATTGGTGTACAAGGTATGCGTTCCCAAATCCGAATTTCAGGATTCATGTGAAATATCTTAAGGTTTTCATCGAACTTTTTTGGCTTTTTTCTCGTTCCACAATCTATTTTTTTATGTTGTGGAAGGTGACACAAAAAAGAGAAGAGACAAAAAAGATCAACAAAAACTCAATTTCTTCCAAAAAAAATTAATTCCGTCCAATATCTCGAAATTATTGTTCTGAAAATTATGATCTGTCAAAAATATTGATGAAGCACAAATCAGTGCACTTCGCTAGAAGTGGTTTGTTGTGATTATTTGTGATTTGATCGTTGATTTGAAAAAAAAACACCACACTATTATTGAATTTTCTTTATGACAAAACAAAAATGACGTGGAGATATGGTGTTAAGTTAGGTTAGGTCCAAATTGAGTGGGTCTATTCGTCCCTCCACCGCAACCCGCAAGGGTTTATTGTGGCTCACACCTATTCACACTCGACCAAATAAACCCAGCTTCTTAACGAAGCCGATTAGTTTGTACGGTGAGTGGCCTTTCAGGTCAGATGATAAGAGTACGGCTCTGCCGAACTCTAAAAACCTGATTCGGTCCCCAGCGGGGCAGGCACAAAGTATATGCTCTGCTGTTTCATTGTTAATGAGGTAGTCGGATAGTCAAGGTTCAAGATTCCCACCTCGATACCCGCGACAACCTTCCCATATGAGGGTTTTTGCACGTCAGTTACACCTGACGATGTCTTAGATTCAACCGTGCAGGGCTTTTTCGCCTCTGGTTTTGGTGAATCATC